TTCTTTTGCTTATTTTATAGTTAAAAAGGTGTACCTATAGTTTCAATTCAACAGTATAAACCCCTCGATCAAATTTCGTAAATTATCAAATTTTCAGATGTTTCTTAATAATAGTTGTTGCATCAGGTTCGGTGGTCTGGGGTGTTCCTATTATATGGTCTTGAGAGGTTAGAATGTGGGACTCTCAGCCAGGTATCTCGCGTAAATCAAAATATCGTCGATATGCTGAACAACGCCTTTTATTCCCGATACAATTTTGTTAAATTTCAAGCTGAAATATTCCGGAGCGCAATTAATTAATTAAGGTGTAATTGTCAAAACTTGGCATTCTCTTTTAATTTTGATTTGATAAAACTCATTATTTGTATCTAATTTAGAAAAATAGCTCTCATTTAGTCTTCTATAATCGCAACACAAGCGAACCCCCTTCCCTTTGGGAACTACAACAATGGTACTGGTACAATTATGCCCCAAGATTGAAGTCGTTTAAGTTCGGATTCTAATTTAGGTAAAAGTGGTAAAGGTACTGCTCTAGGAGCTGCCTGAACAAACGGTTTTGCTCCCTCCTTAATTTGAATTTCAATTTCTCCCTTGAATTCTCCCAGACCGTTAAACAAGTTAGGAAATTCAGAGATTACATCTACTTTTGTTTTCTCATCTGGTAATATCTCTTGAAGACTCACCTGACCTGTGAATTTTAAGATCTCTAGATCGACTATTCCTCATCTGCCTAAAATAGAAGTTTGTAATGCTTGAAGTTGAGATTTTTTGTCTCGATATGTGATTTCCAACTTTAAGGTACCGATGTAAAGGTCGACCATCTGGATCCGATATGACATCATCAGGAGTTTTTAATTTTATTAAAAGATTTTCTGGAATAAGATTTACCGGCATGCACATCACATCGGCTCCCGAGTCTGCCAAAAACTTAATTTTATTTGAAAACCCTTCAATTTCTAGTCTACAAAACCATTGTGACATTGAGTCTGAATTTTGATTAGATCCTACCATTAATCCTATAAATCCATCTATGTTGCTGTTTTCTTCTTCGGAATTTGATTCCGCAGATTCTTTCTCCACTACCCTCGCGCTTTTGTTTTTGCAAACCTTTGCCCAACGTCCAATCTTCTTACAATGTGAACAAGTTGCCTTCCGAGCTGGACATTTTTCTCGTGAGTAGGATTCCTTGCCACAGAAATAGCATCCTGTCACTTCTTTGCTCTGTGTCCGTCCGGCTGCCTTTCCGCTGCCGCCTTTGCTGGTTCGATATTTATTTTTGTCCAAGACGCAGACCTCTTTCCCTATGCCTTCGCTATTCCTTAGAATGTTACTTTGTGGTGAAAGCATTTCCGCATTTGCGTCTTCTAATTTTAAATCTGATTTTAGCTGCAATCTGTCGCTGAGATTTTGATCTAGAATACCGTCAACAGTTCGATCTCTTATAAAATCGTTTTTCATGATCGTAGCCACAAGTGCAAATAAATTTAGTGTACCGATAAAACATGCAAATCTGTAATGAAATATTTCACTGGTTCCCGAGCTGCTGCCTTCTCCTATTGAAACGAGCCCTTCCAAAAACTACATATGTAAAAAACCTCCAATACGACAATAGCTACCGCATCGACTAGATTTTTTTGTCATAGAATTAGCCAGTCTAATTATATGACATAACCAAAAAACTAATTAAGAAGTGGTAAATGGCGTAGACTGCGCCATCTAAAATTGATACAAAATAAATTAAGCGCAGGAGATGAGTCCTTTTTTACGATTTGTTCTTATCGTAGAGTTTCTCGACCGAACGAGGGAAAACGCTCAACAAGAAAACCGGCGAAAAAAAAGGTGCCGTAAATATATATAGCTGTCCGGCTTGTTGTTGCGTAACCTGTCACCCGGACGTACGAAGAGATGCGTTTAGGTTTTTTTTTCTGACAGACGTTTAAAAATTCTTCTTCGAATTAATCTTGTCTTTTTATTTACCACGGACGGGGGAAAATAATTCGTCAGTCGCTTTGTTTTCGTCAAGATTTTTGTACTTTACAATATAAACTGAACGGCAGATCAAGTGAGACATGCAAAAAGTTGCCGCTGGTGTTGACCATTTTCTTCGATGCAGTAGCCGTTATTTTAAAATCGAAATTCATAAATAACTTTATAGCAAATTATTTTTTTTTGTTTTACTACGTACACACCTTGTATAACGAGGAATAGAAAAAATGATTCCATTATGGTGCACTGTTGTGAGAAACAATTAAAGTCAGGTTTTTTCAACATTTTTTTAGAGAAAAATACATCAAAGCTGCAAACCTACCAAAAACTTCAGTTTTCAGGTTAAACATTACCAAAGAATTCAGTATCTTTACATTTTCTACGCTATTTTGGAAAATTTCGACCCAACTTACAAACTAAAGACCTCATTGTGTCGACCATTGTCTCATAACAAGAACGAAATTTGTCTAAATAACCACCAAATGTCAGCATACGAATGGGTCAATGATTTTTTTCTTCCTTGTGTAGTTTGCGTTTAGCCTCCGTTTATGATTTTGTATTCGTTATTAAAAGTTTATTTGTTTCTCAGCTCATGTTTAATTTCATTTTTATTTCGCAAAACCTACTTTATGTCTGTAACAGAAATATACACAATCACGATGGCAGAAATAAAAGTAACTTAAAACCTAATTTCCTACGTAGATGTCAGAAAAACTCGGGGTACCTAATGGAAAATACTTGTTATACTTCTTTCAATAGTTCACAACTCCAAACTCAATTGGTTCAGTAATAGAGGATTTAAAAAAACTCATTCGATACCACAGAATCATAGACCATCGCATTACCGACCGAAAATCCAATCCGTCTATCAAAATTAGGCAACTTCTTCTGCGTGGCCACTTCATCTGCAGGTCAGTTTAATTAGAATTGAATAGAATTTTATTAACTATGTTTGTACAATTCCACAAACACATTATAGCAAGTTAAAAAAATTGACAGCAAAGAAATATTAAATAAAAAATAGAAAATAAACAACGCAAACAGAAAAAAATTGTTACAATACAAAAATTACAAAGAATCTTTAAATTATATTTTTTATTTTATCAGGAAGACATCTAAAATCCGAAAAGTTTTTTTTGTATTTGCTTAATTTAAATTTAGGAATTTGAAGATTACAATTTCTCGAGTGATAGTTATGCATATAGATTTGAAGGGGAAGGTAGCCCCACTTTTTTTTGGCAGCTGTACAGTTACCCCATATAGTGACACCGTATAATAGCTTAGAGTGGAAAAGCGCAAAATAATGAGCCGTCTCATCAAATATACAACAGTCGAGAGATCTAACCACAATCAATTTACAAGTGCAGCTCAGTTCAAACTGTCATCAATAGTTATACCGAGTGACCTCACGTTATTTCCTTCACAGAGCTGATTATCTGTTGGAATATTCAGGGTTTTCTCCTTGTCTAGGAGAAGTCTATTTGCCGTGAACTATTTCCTGGCCTTTTTTGAGATTTAGAACCAATGCAGCCAATACCTTACTAATATAATAGCACTGACCACTGCGTTCAACACATTGTGTAAGAAAATAGAGGTGTGATTCAACTAGTTCCAGTGGTACACTTCGCATATTATACCAAAATAGTATATTATGCAACAAGTGCAGTAAAGAGTATTTGACTCATGAGTTTATTTGGCACGAGCGGAGCGCACCGGAGCGCAGCGGAGCGAGTGCTTAATAAACGACATAAAGAGTTTACCAATCCGTATTCTACTTTTTCTGCGACGAAAAATAACAGACTATCGGACTAGATTTCGTACCATTCAAACACAATATTTACTAGTTGCCAATAAACATATTCGTTTATCGTTCCGATCGGTTCTGCTATTGTTGTCTCTTTTTTACTGTGTACGTTAGACAGGCAGAGATGTATTATTGGATAGATCAGATTATCTAATTACTAAATTTCGTACCATTCAAACAATATTTTTACCATTTGCCCTTAAACGGACTCCTTTATCGTTCCGATTGGTTCTGCTATTGTTGTCTCTCTCAGAGAGAGGTGTATTCTTGGATATGTCATATAAACAACGGAATAAATACAATTTTAAAACGTTAAGTTGTTTAATTAACTTTTACAACTGATCATTAAGTAGTTTATTTAAAGAAAAAAACTGTAATTGTAAGAAAAAAATCATCCAAGGATAGAGCTTTTAAGAGAATTACATTTTTAAGATCGTATAAGCAAGAAGAAGCAGGTCATAACCTTGAATTTTGTTTTGTTTGTACTAATAAGACGTGGATATTTCAAAATGGTATATTTGGTCTTGGCATGATATTAATATAAAAACTATAAAAACCACTAAAGTTCATGCGAACGGTATGTAAAATTTCTGTGAGAAACTTAAATTATAAATGTCACGTGCGGTGGAATCCCGGAAATATCCGAAGTGACTCGGATCCATGGGAAACGAAACTGATGTGGTAAAGTGACGCTTCCCGCACGCTGGATCTGTGTGTAATTAGGTATTTTACAGACGGGAGTAGAAAACAACTTTTTCAATATAAGTGTCTAGATTAGATTTTTCAACTACTTTATGCAGTCACACGACCCTGCTGGTTTAAAAATATGTTTCAAAGGATTTGTTTATGATTATTGTTAAAGATTCCAAAACTATATCAACGGTATACTGAAGTATTAAAGTGGCTCTATTATGAAAAAAAAATGCACTTTGCACCATTTTCTTTTAAAACAGCAATAATCCACACACCTAACTCTCCTCTTCTTTTGAGGATTTAATGCGATCTGGATATATTTTGAGAAAATGTTGCATCCAAACTTGTTGCCGATATGTCAGTTATCAGATTTTAAATCTCGCCTGTGAATGGATCTTCTCAAAAAAAATTTCATAGAAACTTCACTTCCCTTCCTCTAATTTTAGCATAGGTAGGGCCTCTATATCTCTAGTAGCCATATGGTTTAATTGTATACGCCTTGTTCAAATAATGTAAATTGATTCGGTCGACAAACCCACAAAAGTCATCGAAATTTATTTGAAATGTGACAATTCCTGACCCTAAATGCTAGTAAGTAGTGTCGATGCCTTCGCCGAATCTTCTGTAGAGGTCCCGGTAAAACAACCAATCCGATTGGCTCGGGTTCTTCGCAAGCACTAGCTCGTCGCCGATGTTTAAGTAATTCACATCATCTTTGTCACGATGTAGCCCGTGCTTGGCTGTCAGCCATGTGACGTTTCGAAACAATGGCTCGTCGTTTCTCGGGGTGGGGTTCCTTAGGGGTTAAAAAATTGTTAAACTAAAACTAACTTGTGTTTGTGTAACCGTGTGGGAGTGCGTTTGACATGTTACGGCCCATTCAATTCAAAGAATCGCTTTTCAATTATTATTTGCAAAATGCAACTAACCAAAATTACTATACGACAAAGCATAAGTACTATCCTTTTTAATGTATTATTTTATTTACACAAAACCGTATAAAACTCATTTCGAGTGGGCCAAGTGACGTCACCACACCAACACGGGGTCGGATATTAATATTAAATATAATTGGGTTGTATCTAAACTTTCTGATCAATTTACTTAGAATCGGCAATGACTTGTGAACTCAGATTTTCCTATGTGTGACAAAATCTCAGTCCAGGCAAACAAAAAAATTTGATTTGAGGCTGATCTTGACTTCACTCGAAATTCGTACTACACGATGTGTAACTATTAGTGACTGTTTTTTTTTATCACTCCACACAAGCGGGATTCTAGCTCAACTTAGCCCAACCATCCTGAACTTTGCACTGTTGTAATCTTCACGAAAATGAAATTCTTTTGAACGTATTGTTTAGATACCGAAGCTAGAACTATCTTCTTTAAAGATGGGGAATTTTGTGATGAAAAGAACCAGGGTGAATATCTTAGCTTTTTGCTTATTAGTTAAAAAAAGTGTACTTATAGTTTCTTATTTCTTATTCAGTAATATAACGACCTACGAACAGTATATAAACCCCTCTATCAAATTCCGTAAATTATCGAATTTTCAGATGTTTGCTAATAAAAGTCACCGGAACAACTACATTTTTTTCCTCATAATATTACCCAGTCTAATTAAATGACATAACCAAAAAAGTAATTACGAAGTGGTAAATGGCCGAGACTGCGCCATCTAAAATTTGATACTAAATAAATTAAGCGTGGGAGATGAATCCCTTTTTACCATTTGTTTGTTTCTCAATATATGTATGTATTATTCAATTTACATAAAACCGTATAAAACTTATATCGAGTAGGCCAAGTGACGTCACCACAGGAACACGCGATTGGAATAAAATGGGCCATGTAACTATCGTCTTTGGTTTACCGGTTTAAGTGTGCAGTGGTAATCTTACTGAAATTTGGCAAAATTTGTCCATAGCTTCAGAAGCCTGTCGCGAGTCAGTTGGTCAGCTCTGCTCGCATTCGCGTTATTCCTGAAGAGGTACTGCAGCTCGTCGGCATGGGCCGCCCCTAAAAATAACATTTTCGAAACAACACTCGTGGGACCCGCCCATGCGCGAACCTGGGTACTTTCTGGGCACGCCGCCCGCGTAGGAAAATACATAAAAGTACACGTCGGTGTACTTGGACATTAGGTTGACCGTTTCTCTGCCGGGTCTGTTGAATAGCTCTTCGCTCAGAAACTGCAAATTTTGTCGTTTGTATAGTCGGCATTAGCTTAGCGTTTATATACAGAGGGTCTTTCCGAAATTTGGCATCGTGTGGAAAATAATCTGTTCAACTCTGGGTATTCACTTACGTGAAAAGGCAAAAAACAAATTAATCTTCTTAAAATTTAGGCAATAATAAGTGATAATAAAATTCACTTATAAAACACCTAAAGTTTTTTTTAAATATTGGACCTCAAATGGTTTGTTATTTGGGCGTAACTTGTAATGCTAAACAACTTTTCCTCATACTATTTTTTTAAATTTAAATTTTATTTTTTTCTAAAACAATACTAGTTGCAAGAAATTGCATTAGATGCATAGGATGTTCAACATAGACGAATATATTTGGTCCATTTGAAATTGAAAAATCTCGATTTTCTTAAATGGCATACCATATATATATAATTATTTTGTCTGAAAGATCTTACAATAACCTACAACTTTTATTGAATATATCATATAGTCATATACTATTTAATGCTTTTAATTTATTTTAACTTTTCCAATATTTACCCTTCTTTCTGTCTAAGACTTTAACGTTGGTTTGTTATGGCAAAATTATAAGCCAAGAGGGCTCTGTTAAGGTTAAAAAATTAACCGTAAAAAGGCCTTTGTTTGAGTCATAGATAAAGCAATTTTGTTCAAAATAACGGCCCAATGTTAAATTAACAGGAAAGGTAAATAACGTTAAATTCAAATTAGCTTATCTTATTTGTAATTTGTATTTCTTGAAGAAGTATCACACTAGCTAGCTTAATAACTTAACAACTACTGACCTGGAGATTTTCTTGAACTTGAAGTAAAATTTCCAATTCTTTTTCTTCAGTTTCGGTTTTTCATATTCAATATTACCACAAGCATCAAATCGTTCCATTAAACACGGAAGAGATTTTCTAGTTAGTATTCGTGTATTACGGTACTTCGTCTCGTAAAGTCTCACTGCCAACGAAGTATTTTTTTCGCCTCACCCAGTATTTAAATAATATCAATTTTTTTTTATTTACTGACATCACAATAAATTTTATTAATTTATTTACTCAGTTGTCCGGTAAAAATTTTACAATGTAATTTTGTTTTTTTTTTCAAGAAAGCTTCCACAGGCTACTGTAATACTAGCTAACGTCTCGCCAATAATCCTTTTGGCTTCTTCAGAGCTTGACTGAAACTGGTTCGCATTTTACTCTGTACCTCCTTTTATATTGTTTGAGAGGGGCGGAGCTAAATAAGGGACATAAACACCGTCTCGGATGGCTGATTCCCATATTGGTGACAGGTAGAGACCGCAGTTAAGATTGTTATATTGCCTATAGATTTCTCTAGACTCTCGGATTTTTCGTTGGTAGAACAATTGATTAGATGCAATAATTTTTGTTTTATCGAATAAAATTTTATGACTGGTTTCGTGATTGTGTTCGGCAACTGCTGATGAGTTTATTTGTCTTAGTCTTAAGGTTCTTTCATGTTCTTTGAGCCTAGTTGATATTTTTCATCCGGTCTCTCCAATGTATTCTTTGCCGCATATGCATGGAATGCTGTAAACTCCTGGCATCTCAAATGGAATGTTGTCTTTGACGGATCGAACATATTGGGAGATTTTTGGACAAGTGGTAAATCTGGTTTTGACGTTATATTTCTTTAGAAATTTTGATATGTGGTCAGTGACATTTTGAATATAAGGAAGGAAAACAGTTCCAAGTGTGGGATTGCTTTCGGTTTCATTGCTATTTTAAGGTTGTGTGTTAACCGCGACTCAGGCCTCTACCTGTCATTGATATGGGAATCAGTCATCCGAGATGGTGTTTATGCCCCTCATTTAGCTCCGCCCCCCTGGAGCAATATAAAAGCACGTACAGAGTAAAATACGAGTCAGTTTCAGTCAAGCTCTGATGAAGCCAACAGGATAATTGGCGAAACGTTAGCTAGTCCGAGTCAACAAAAACCGACGCAGGAGGAATCCAGAAGTATCATAAAAAGAAAGTAATTTTGTCATGGTCAACTAATGATATAGCAATAGTTCTAGACAGAAAGAATGGTAAATATTGTATTAAAAATATTGTATTAAAATTAGGTATCTTTATTAATTTTGTAGATTTTTGTAAGATCATCATAAAAAATAATAATATGTGTGGTGTGTTATTTAAGAAAATTTAAAAACAAATATATTTGTTTATTTTGAATACCCTGTAGCATTCAATTCAAATTCCGTTGCGTATATCTTTTACGTCATCTTGGAATAACGCTAACATCAAATTTGAGTGATTTAGCACCTGGCTCAGTAAGATGATCATTCGGAATTCATCCCTTAAAAATAATGGCGCTATCGTAATATTTTTGAAAATGTGAAAGCTAGTGTTTTTTTAGAAAAAATATAATATTAGAAAAATTATTAGGTTTATCGTTAGTTTATCGTTAAATCACTCTGTATTTTGGCGGCACAGCTAAGAAAAAATGCTAATACATTGCACAGCTAAGTGGCCATCCCGTACATGTATGATAAAATCTAAGGTGGGTTTATCCTTTGAGAAATTTTTGTTACTTTTGTTTTTTTTAGTCAACGCCCTAAGAGTTTTTCTGTTTTAGAAAACTCAGTTCCTGCAAAATCTTATGAAGAATGATCTCTTTGTTTTATAAAAGAAAGATTTTGCCGACGTACATTTTTTGAATCATCCAAAATAGTAAAACGGCATTATCTCGCAAGCAACCCCATTCATTCAAACAAATTTTGTATACGCTCACATTGGATACTGATTGTGGTGTGCTGTTGAATATTCCGCCCCTACCAAAGTAGTGGACGTCGATTAGGTAACCGGCTAGTAGCTTTTCGACTCGATCTCTGGTCAAAGCCGGCGGGGCTAATTTGCTGGGATCAGCCTCGTATTGAGGTAGCAGCGGTTTAAGTTGATCTGCAAAAAACAACTCGACCGTCAACGTTTTAAGCGAATAGTTCCAATTCACAAACACAATTGTATCGGCAATTGATATCTACTGGTTTGGCAACGCAGCATTGTGCTTGAACATACATAAACTATAATCTTCCTAAAAAGGAAGTTTCGGTAGAGTTGAAAGCTTTTTTTTTGTTTAATATTTCATTGAACGAGTAATTTTTCGGGTTTATTTGTTCTGTTTTATTTTTCGCTTCGTGTTATGTTATGCTTGTCATGATTCAGTTACCGAAAATGTAAGTGATAAATCCTAGCTCGTTGGAGGTGTAACCGACGATTACGGGAACCCTGTAGAAATCTCCGCATATCAAAAGCTCGCGGCTTCTGCCGCTGAAGAAGGCTTCTTCGTGGTACGGTTCATCCACGACACCGAAAGTAGTTACGTTCCACTCGGTGGGTTTTATAATGAAGTTCTGGAACAAGTGCGAGATAATAGCTACACTACCGCGGCAATATAACCAAGTCGATTACCAAAGCTACTACTTGATCCGAAATTTGTTGGAGTACTGAGTAATCGACTTTCCTTAATTCCCTTACGAGCGTCCTAGTGCTAGTGGTGTTCAATCCGTACCTAATTCCTACATGGAAGGCGTCAGTTTTCGAGTTTCTAGATAACGCCAGTGAAGACAACGTGGTACCGCTTTCCATTATTCCACCATGGAAGAGCCCTAAAAGGTAACACAACCATTAAATAACAGAATGACGAGAAAAAGGAATGTCCATGAATTTCGAGACGTCACAGTATTCATCATCTGACAATAACTGCAAATAAAATTCTAGCGTAGGATTCGGAAAAAAGTTATGGCACAATTTAAGAGGTTTCTCCTGGATCTTCTGGATTCTTCCGGCGTCGGTTGTTATTGAATTGAACTTGCTGACGTTTCGCCACTCATCCTGTTGGCTCACGAAACTGGCTCACATTCTACTCTGTACCTGCTGTTTGAGGGGGCGAAGCTAAAGGAAGCAGCAAGAATTTTAGTTTTAACGCCAATAAGTTTATTTGTCTCAGGCTTAAGGCTTTTTCATGTTCTGTCAAGTCTTTTCAGAGGAAAGCCCTCGACACCTTCCATATAAAATCAAATTATGAAAACGCTTCCTTGATGATACTTTTTGTTATTTGGAAAATGGTCAAGAATCCCTACCAATTTTTTTCAGATATTTAAACGCTGTACACCCTACATACGTTTTAGCATTGAATTAGAAACTAATAATCATCTCCCATTCTTAGATATTCCTATCAATGGAAAATCAGACCTAATATTGGGTCGTTCTGTATACAGAAACACATCTCATCCGGCCCAAAAATCATTGATTATCAACTCTTTTGTTTACAGACAGGTAAAACCCATAATTAAAACATCTTACATCACAAAATACACTTCACCACAACCTTCCACAGACAAAGATTCCGAAAGCAATCCCACACTTACCACTGTTGTAATTCCTTACATTCAAAACTTCACTGAGCACATATCAAAAGTTCTTAAGAAATATAACTTCAAAACCAGATTTACCACTTGTCTAAAAGTCTCTCAATATCGTTGATACCATCGATATTAGGTGCTTACAGCATTCCATGGATATGCGGCAAAGAATACATTGGAGAGCGTGACGAAAAATATCTAGACTCAAAGAACATGAAACAGCCTAAAGACTAGGGCAAATAAATTCATCGGTAGTGCCGAACACAATCATGAAACAAATTTTATTCGATAACAGTAAAATTTTTCCATGTATTCAATTCTTCTACCAACGAAAAATCCGAGAATCCATAGAAATCTATAACAAATGTAGCAATCAGTCATCCGAGACCTTGTTCTTGCCCGAGCTCCGATCCTCTCAAACAATATAATATAAGCAGTTACAGAGTAAAATGCGGCCAGCTTCAGTTAACAGGATGATTGGCAAAACGTCAGCAAGTTCGATTCAACAACAACCGATGCAGGAGGAATGGAGAAGTTTTATAAATAGTGTTACAGTAGCCTGTGTAAGTATCTTTGAAAAAAATAGACCACTATAAATAACGTAATAGCTAGTTATACTTTTTTCAAACTTGTTTTTAATGGAATTTAAGTCCTAAGTGTTTTTTTTGTATCACTATGATTATGGCAGTTTTTTAGCAAAATATACACACATGGAATCACTAGTTTTCACATGCGCTCATTTAGTAAATGCTGGTGGTTTGGTCATGAGCCTGTGGTCCTTAATTGTTGAAACCTTTAGGTTTTCGTTGTCCATGTAAGTAGTTTTAGCAACACTCCAACTTACCAAATAAGGTATTTTGATAAAAAATGGTGTAACAACTAAGCGTAGTACGTACCTCTTGCTTTTTCGCTTTGAACCAAGTACGACACAGAACCGGATCCGGCGCTCTGTCCAAAAATGGTAACTTTATTTGGGTTCCCACCAAACCCTCTGATGTTTTCCTTAACCCATTTCAGAGCTAGTACTTGGTCCTTCAAACCCCAATTGCCGGGACTTTCCAAGTCGCCGGTGCTCAAAAAACCGAAAATGCCCACTCGATAATTGAAGGAAACAAAGACCACGTTCTCCTCGAGGAAGTTTTCCGGATTGTAAATGGAGAAGTTTGCCATTCCGGATTTGAAACTTCCACCGTATATCCAAACCATGACCGGTAAGTTTGCGTTTATCTGAGGTGTGTAAACGTTGATGTAAAGGCAATCCTCGGACCCGACAACTGCAGCACCATCAGATTGAGTGCATTCGCTTTTATCTTCGGCGGCGTCCAGTGGTTTTACCCAAGGACGTGCTTTTCTGGGAGCCTACGACGTAGAAATGTGCCCCTCTAAATAGGTCTCGAAATATGTATTATTAATTTATATAGTTACGCGGAATCTCAGATCGCCAATCGGTGGCTGAGCGTACGGTATTCCTCGGAACGCATGGTACGTCCTGTTCCTAAGTTGGGTGGTATTGGTAACCCCTCTTACGTCACCCTGACGTGTGGTTACCACGGGTCGCCCCACCTGATTAAACACAATTAGACACTTTGATGATGGCTTTTTTCTATCTGGAAACATATTTTCTAGTAATTGGGCACTTGCAAAATGACAAAAAAGAATTCGTGACATCGAAAATTTGCAATGTTTATCTGTAATAATAGGCTTCGATCAATCGCTTAAGGGTTTGATTCTGTATCTATAATTATTATGCGCAAATAATTGTAAGCGTTGTAAGGTTGAATATTTGGAATTGCAATTTTTATGCAGTGCTACCAAATTATATGCCTAAATTAAAGTTGTTGCAAATTTGAGAATTTCTTAATATTTTCTATCCGGAAGATCCATCACCCGCCCTTTTATTTTTATTTAAATATAAATTATGAGTTCAAATTTCAAATTTTCTTCGTAAACTGTGAACCACTCAACAAAATGTTAAAAATTTAATATTTATAGTAGGCGTGCCAAAGTATTGAGTTATTAAAACAAAATATATGAAACTGAGCATAATTTAGATCAAATAATAATATTAATTCCACAGGCATGTATAAATTCTAGGTTAGAATAGGAACAGTTTTTTCTTCAAACCATTTGTTTTTTGTTAACGATATGTTTAAATAATAGTATTTGATAAAGCTAAGACATTTTGTATAAAACCTAGTCTATTTAAATCAAAGGTTGAATGAATGGATTGGAAAAATAAAAATGGCCACCCAACAGCCCAGACGTGATGCCCATTTTTATGGGGAACTCTAAAAGATTGTGCACCATCGAAAACAGAGAACATCTAAAAAACCTGATTAGAAGTTCAATTTCTAAATGAAGAATATTCCCAATCTATCACTAGAAGGATTATCCAGGCATTTGTAAAACTAATTAGTTCTAGAATATTTTTTAATTTTGTAAATATTTTGAAAACTATTGAATTTAGGTATAGACTACGGATATTAGAATATAAGTAGGATAGGATTAGGATATAATTAGGTATTAGGTAATGTTATACGAAATGTTTTCTTATTTCTGGCTAGGCTTGATGTTTGTTGAAATTTTTCATAGATTCTATGAAAGTTTTTTCTCTGGATCGTGCAATGTAGCCCTCCCATTCGGTTTAAAAAACGTTTCCAAAATTAACTGTTATTTTATATATGATGAAAGAGCATGGTTTTGCTAGATCTGTAACCATCACTGTCGGTTGAACTGAGGTTTTTACTTGATGAAAATCCATTTATCAAAATAAATAAGAACTAAAAGTTCAGATTTTCACGAAATTATATATTATGACATGACAATTGTTTCGACAACACCGTGTCTTTATCAAATGTCACGGTGGACACGGTGTTGTCGAAACAATTGTCACGTCATAATATATAATTTCGTGAAAATCTGAACTTTTAGTTCTTATTTATTTTGATTCCATAGAATGACTAACGTTTTCGGGCAATGTAAGAAATGTTTTAATTTCAATATCTTTAGAAAATTTGCTTCAGTTTCTATGGAATGTCTATGTAATATTAGGAACTAACAAAACTAACAAAACCTAAATTCAGGCAAACTAGTCTGTCCTAGACCAAATAAATCAAAACTAACCAAACCTGTCAACACATTTAATTTTCGCGAAAGATAAACCCACGTGGCTCAGGGAAAACTACTTGTTCATTAATGTTGGTTAGTATATATATATATATATATATATATATATATATATATATATATATATATATATATATATATATATATATATATATATATATATATATATATATATATATATATATATATATATATATATATATATATATAATTTTAGTTTTGCTTGAAATCAGGTTTGGTCGGTAACAGCTGAAGATAAAAAATAACATATAGAATCTCTAAAAGCGATAGGCGAATTACCATTATCAAATCGGTATTTTGAGAAATGCCACGGAAAATGTATGTAATTTTAATTTAATAACTAGTCAAAGTTTGCCAGTAACTATAATAGTCCACGGCATCTTCTATCTAGCCTATTAGATTGGATTTTATTCTATGTGGTAAGAAATATTTCAATAAAATATTTATTTTATTAAACGACCTTTATATACGTGTTATACTTTTACACTTCGGAAACTTGTATGTTATTTTACATAGAATCATTATAACTCTTGCAAGAAGTGAATTGTCTGAATCGATTTTTTTTGTCAACATACTCACTTGGCACAGTATGCCATCCGAAGTGACAGCAATGACCAAAATAATGAAAAGCACCATGTTCTAGTAGCAGAATGGTACCTAGATACTAAGTCGTGAGTTGCTTATATAAGTTTTTCAGTTTGAGATAGTGGTGGTTAATGTGAATATAAAAAATATTACCTGGAACTCGTAAATTATGCACATATTGTTAGCCTTGAGCGTGATAAAATTGAAGCCTATACGGTTTTGTTTATGTGTTCTTCTGATAAACGGTATGCTTAAATTGCTACAATAATTAAGTTTAATTGTTGATGTTCGAAATGGCATTTTATATAACCATTTTGCATATATTCTTGCTAATTTCTTCCCTTTGGAAATTCAGGTATTCAGGGCAGTGGTGGAGCAGTGCAATATCTTAAGATCGAATAGTAAACCTATCAATTTTTTCCAAAAAGTTATGTGAAAAGAAAAAATGCAGTTATTAATTGATTCAAGTATTATTTATTTAATATATTTTTAAATAGCTGAATTGTAATAAATTTAAAAATACGGATAAATGAAGCACTGATTAAGTCTTATCAATTCGAAAAAGTCGATGACGACTTAAGATTATACATATCTTTTGTACTCAGCTTAATCATTTAAATTAAATTAATTTAAAGAAACATTATGCTTTACCAAAATAGACCACAATCGGGCCTGGGAATGTTTGACACGCACATTGATTTAGTTTGACGAGAGGCTGTTAGGTTATATAGCTAGAAAATGTGCAGAGTTGACCGATATTTGTTCCAACTTTCAAAAAGTTTTCATTTCGTATAGTGATTTCGAATCCACAGTACAGCACCTACAGAGATCGCTTGGAAAGGGTTCCAAATAAACTGCTAAAATGTATCTCATAGTTTATATAAATTTTCTTTTACTTTTATTCACTGTTGATCTTGTAATTGGTCTTTCTCGATATTCAGTTTCTTTATAGACAAAAATGTAACAATTAAGGAGACGGCTTACCTGTTCATTTCAAAATAAAATTACCGCTCATAAAATGAAAGGGATAGGGATAGGGTATTCAAAAATGAATTTAAAAATATTGTTTCATTTAAAACAAATATTTGTTCCATATTTTAACCATTTTTTGTTTTATTTGTTATTAAATTTTTATGTAAATTGTCTAGTTGTTTTAGGTTCGTCCGTAGTGTCTCGAATTTTTACCAAATAAATAAACAAATTAATTTGGTTTTAAAATATTAAGATCTTTGCGATTTCTATAGGGGCATTTGAACAATATTTCTTTGAAATCGAGTGAAGCAATTATTAAGTCTAGTCCATCTAAGTATATTAATCAAATCTATTTCTTTAAATCAAGCTGTACCAAGAAAAAAGTTAGGAAAAACCTTAAAAGATCAAGTATTTCCATTTTGTTTTGAAAATTTGCATATTTATAGAAAACTCTAGAGGAAACTACTTTGTCCAATAAAGCTTAACGATATTTTGTAAAATAACCCAATTTTTGATATTGTTTATAAAAAGTAATAATTTTCTCATTAATAAAAAAGTGACAACACGGTATATTAGTGTGCGGGTATCTTTTCCGAACAACTCTACGCCTTTGACTTTGCCCACGTTTGGTGGACAAGGGCTTAATTTATTATACCTCGTCGGTTATAAATTGCATCGGAAAACTTAAAACAATTTGTCTCCCAAAATCCGGACGTTTAATACATACATCTATACACGTATCGGCCGACAGGAATTTCTTAAAGTTTAAATTGGGTAATGGAAGGGGGAACCTCCAATTAAAATCCCATATCCGCCCGCGCGAGACAAATTTCGATAATAAATAAGCTCGAAAACGGAATCCGAGAAACGAATAATTTCTCTTATCCCAATCAGTTTTCTGATGTTGAAAATTTAGGATGTTGGTGTACATACCGGGGGCATATGATGAGGCCCATGATGATGTTTTTAATTTTTCGAAATAAGAATATTATGAAATTTATTTTATCGAATCTTAATAAATGGCAAGTAAATAAGAATAAATACCGGTGAAACAGTGTCGTTTTGAGATTGTGTGACATTTTCCTTTCTTTGATATTTTAATCTCGAAATAAGATATCGAGATCTGGTCATTAAAGTATTCAGACTATCTTACTTATACTGTTGCATTTAACTTTTAGAGAATTTGGAAATTTTCTGCTACTATATTAAAGAGCGTGCTCTAATGACATCGCTAAGAACTGAACATATCACAGGTAAAATGAGCTTAATAGTTTTGATAGTTTAATAGTTCAAAAGAAACGAAAAATTCGTTAAAAAGTTTGTTTAGGAAATCAAGAAGGAGCGCAATTCAGGTTTACGCTTAATTAAATTCGTTATAAGAAGAAGAACTACAAGTTTTTTGATTTTTAGCACTTGCTTAGCACAATTTTGGTCCAAAATTTTTGTTGGACGGTCCTCCGTGATGTCTGGGACATAATTTCATTCAAAAATCAAATACAGTACTACTTTAAAATAACCAATTATGCAGCTATCAAGCGGGCGGAAAGTGTCACTTTAAGGCGCCAGTTTCGTTACCTACAATCTCGAGCCACTTTGGAAATTTTCAGTGAACGTATTCTTGCTGTTTTACAAAAATATATCCAAATACTAATAGTGTATTTTGGCGCCCTGATGCAATTTTTTTCTTAATTTATTTTACAAACACATACAATATTACAAACAACAACAAAAATATGTTTATTTATGTTACTTTCAATATATTTCAGAATTATAGCATTAAATAACATTTCTTGCCAGTATTAAAATGCAATTTTTCTTGCTTTTATTTACACAAGTTCTTCATATTGTCACATATTTCACTTTCTATTGAAACTAGTGATCCAGCAAATCTTCCTTCAAATAAGTTTTGATTAGTTTTAATTGCGAAAAGCAGCGTTCACTACTAGAGACTGAAACAGGGAGTGTGAGTAAAATTTTTGTAGCATTGCTCAATTTTGTGTCACTAAAATCTTAATTTCATGAAGAAATTCTGTTTTTTTCTTCAAAGAAACTTCCACATGCAACTGTAATACTATTTACATACACTTCTGTTGGTTTCTTTCGAGTTTAACTGAAACTGTTAAGTTAAGCTCTGAAGAAGCCAACAGGATGATTGGCGAAACGTCAGCAAGTTCTATTCATCGAGAACCAACGCAGCAGGAAGATTTGTAATTGTAATAGTAATTCTGGATTTACTCAAATCGTCGATGGAAGCCTCATCAATCGTCATAAAATTTACTTCATGGCAGAATAATAACGATTTCACGGTCAGCTGAGGACAAAAGTAAAATCGTCATTATCTTACCATATTGAAATTTACAAAAGTCCGATTACAGTCTACAACTGTTTTCATTGTTGTTTAAATATTGTGTAAATTAAGGCGTCCTTAAAGCTCGTGGCTGCGATGCACTCGTCTATTAATCACTGATTTGGAGTGACATTTTTTCCGCATCTTTCATATAGACACCCTGGATATGTTTATGTAAACATTTTTGTCTTTAAACTATAATATAAACTATAAGTCATCCCATAAAGATTGGCAGAATACTTTTTTAACACCCACTCAATAATACAAGATTGATTAACTACGTCTCCTATTTTTAGGAAAATTTTATCAATGACCTTTGGATTTGTGTACCGAATGGTCGTGACCGACTAAAGGTAAATTTCTGTGGCAGAGAAAATCGATTTGTCAGACTACGCGGTTTGCCCAAGTTTGTCTTGTTCTCCGTGTTTACGAGCAATAAACATGCCGTTAATTAATACGTAAAGTTTAGCGTTAATTGTGAATTGTAGGGGGTGGCTAATTAATTGTTCTTCCCGTTTACCTGTTCTTGTTTAGCACTTTCCTACACTGAAAAAATATTTTTAGAAATTACCTAATTAGAAATGAAACAAACAAACCAATACGTCATATATTGAAGATAATTTTTTAAATACGTAATTTTTTATATAATGTGTTTTTCGATTTTTTATCAAGTTTGCAGAATGGCATTTTGAAATTCGAGTGAAATTGTAATTGTAATTTAAAAAATCGCGTGGGAATTAAAACAGAGCTTTTTCAAATATTTACAATCCAGCCACAGGGTCTGAAAGCAACAAAAACTCGGCTGAATTAAACCTAAACTTAAAAACAAAATTTGCAGAACTTTGGCATCGAAGTTTAGATAAAAACATGTATGTGCAATATAATATATAAATTTACTCTAATAGTCATCGCATTGTCTGCGTATTCCTGTTGTATTAATTTTCACCAATTTATTCCAGAGTTTGTTCTATAATTAGTTCTATGAAATCCATCTTAAAAGAGCAAATTAGTCCTTGAGGAACCTTCGGAAATTCCAGATCAAGCGTAGCCTCCAAACACTAAGTAATTAAAAATTGGATCTACCGCACTCAAAATAAGAACTCCATCCAGACTTTATAAGATCTTGTCAGGTTCTAAAATACAATTGTATCACGGAAAGAACATAAGATTGCTTTCGAGAAATCCACGGTGGGCGGGGCAAGTTCGTGTATTTTGAAAAGAAACCGCTTCGCAGTTTCTTGTCCTAGAGAGAGACATTGTTCTTCTATCGTGCTCCTGCGGACCACTATAGAACTTTCGCTGTATAAAGTGACTTTCGCATTTCGCCGAAGTTCAAAATTACGATAAACTTTTGGTTGATATAAAAATGTATACTGTTAATTGCAATTTAAAATTGTATTTTTTCAAATATCTCACGTACCTTGTATGATAGACGAAAACCGAAACTCTCTCTCTACACAGTTTACTGTTCAAATATAATTATCCCATCTTCAAAAGTTTGTCATTTATCGTTAATAATTTACCCACATATACGGAAATTTTTATTTATTACCCTGGATCTCCCACTTTTCGTGGTATATGAATTTCTCTTGTTTTCTGAAACCATAATAGAAAATGACGTCATCGCGTCTAGATTGAGTGCCAGAAATTGCGACGTCTATATGAATTTTTCGACCAGCATGTGTTAGGTAGAAACCGTAAACCAATTGGCCATATTTTTTAGGAATTTTGATTTTAGAGTCTTTAGAGATTGGTCTATAATTGAAAAACCCTGCACG